GGGGGGGGGGGGGGGGGGAGACAAGGAATGCTATCCAGAACTTGGGATGTATTGCCATAGGAGCGTTTTATAACGCAACCGTTGGAGAGGAAGGTTCATCCAAAGGGAGCCCTTTGGGCCGGAACGAGAAAGGAAATGTTCCGACCCAAACCTGGTTCTGAGAGACTAAACCCAAGACAAAGGCGGCAGCAGCACAACCTTTTAATGTTTCATTTACGAATCCTGTTTCTTCCCAGATCAAAGGCTGCTTCCAACTAATTAGGCTCCGACAAGAAAGAGCCTTGCCAAGTTTTTGCAAGGCTGCCAAGAACAACAGATGAAGTTCCTAAACAATAAATCAAAAGAGTCTCCAAACACCAACTCAGATATTCTAACATCCACCAGGCTCGCGTATCAAACTTCTTTGCTTCCTGCAAAGAACTGCAGCTTCTCAGCTGGCTTTTATCTCTTAAGGGAGGGGCCATCACCTTGCAGCCTTACTCCCGAGTCACCTGTGCTGCTGCAGCGGCTCTTTCCTTCATGCGCACTGGGCACAGGCTCCTCGGGGACCTCTTCCTCACTGCTGCCAGCCTCCACAATCTCCAAAGGCAGCACTCCACTCCTTGATGGAGTCCTCGCTCTTTGAGACCTCAGCCGTCTGCACCTGCTGCCAGCGAACCACAACAGGAAAGTGCTCTGGTTTTTTTTAATTAAGTCCCATTTCATTTGCTATAATTTCTCAAGGGAGACTGTTCGTGGTGCCTGATTGTTCCAGGTGGGATATAGGGATCCTTTTCAGAATCGTATATCAGCCAGGCAGGAGTTTGGAAAAAAAATAATAATCTTTTATTTCTTCACATTTCTGACATAGGAAGACCTGGACCTTCTACTTGTTTGGAAGACTGAATATATTTTCCCTTGAATGCCCCTACTTCCAAAGGTGCACCAGCCGTATTTCTTTCACCCGGGCAATGCTAATTCCTTCTTTTTTTCTTTTGTGGTTGCTACTTTCGAAGGTCTTTCCTTGGCAAGGAGATTCTCAAATGTCCGGCGGTTTTAATTCCTCTTTAACAGGGAAGGCTGGGGGCAAGGACTAGATAGAAGAACCAGCTATATTTCTGCTGCCTTCTAAGCGTAATACAGAACAAGTTGCAATACATCTGTGCAAAATGCCGAGGTAGATCTTGGCTCCTAATAAGCAACCACAAACAAACGTGTTTTTTTTTTATAAAAAAACTGAAGTTTGCTTAAGAAAACTGAGCATTTCTGGGTTGCTATAATTAGCATAAGGTCTTAAGGGCTCCCAGGAAGGCGGACTTCAATCATTCATTCCTTCTGTTTCTTTGCAGGAC